TCTTGTTTTCCCCTTCCTGCTTGTCGTTAGGAATTGGGAAGTGGGACCAGAACAATCCTGGGGTTTAGTGCCAGGTTCAGGGAAGAGCCCAGAGCTGCTGGGTCTTGTTTTCCCCTTCCTGCTTGTCCTTGGGAAAGGGTGGAAGTTGTGTCACGCTCCATGTTCCACGTGCCGTGCCCTAAGCACCCCAGGGATCCACTGGGATTGCCCAAACTGGGACACAGAGCTGTGCCGGGGAGTTCCAGGAGTCAGGCTGTGCCTTGTTACTGTTTCAGGGATTGAAAATATCCCATGTTCTCAGGTCCTCCTCGAGGACAAGCCTGAGTGGCTCCGGGTTCTGCTGGGAGCAGAGTTTTTCCAGCTTGGAAAGCAGCCATTCCCACCAGTCCAGCCAGTTGTGACACTGGTAAATTGTGCAATAGAACCATTAAGTGCCACCTAATACCCTAATTAATTGTGATTTATAAGTGTTGCTTTATAATGCTTTAATTCCCAGATAGCAACAATAAACACGACCCGGGAGATCACATTTTTGGTGGAATAAGTTCTTAATTTGCTGCAGAAAAGCCCCAGCTCCAGGTTTTTGTGTCACATCAGGTGTGCAAATGCAGGACCAGTAGAACCAGTTCACTGCAGGGAACACCCATACTGGGAACCTCGCAGGTTCCATCCCTTTGTGCAGCAGGAATTCAGGGCTGATCTGTAGAATTCTCAAGAAGTTGCTCAGTAAAAAAAAAAAAACACCCCTGTCTGGCCACACTGTGAATATTCCAAGTTGGAAGGTTGTTTTAATCCTGTTTTAATCCAGAGTCTTTGATTTTGTTCCTGTTTTTTGAGCAGTAGGAAACAGTAAAAAAGCCCTGTCTGTTCACAGTTTGAATATTCCAAGTTGGAAGGTTGTTTTAATCCCGGAGTCTTTGTTTTCGCAAAGGCCAAATTGTTTGTAATTCTTTAAATGTTTGTAGTTAACTCCTGTTGGTGACGTTATTTTGGTGATGAAGGGTCTGAGCCTTCAAATACAGGGACCTTGGGAAGGTTTTTCCTGCAAGGTGAGCATTTAGTGAGGATTTCTTGGTTCTGTGGGTGAGGAGGAAGTTGGAGGCAAACTCAGTTCCAGCAAATAAACACATAAATCGGTGCCAGCTTTCCCAGGAACTTTAGAAAATCACTTGGAGTTCACTGACTTTCACTTTTTTACTGCTCCCAGCCGCCCCTCTGGTTTTATTTGATTTTCCCAGTTAAATTTCTGTGGTATTTGGAATGATTGTCCTTATTAATTCCTAATTTCTTTAGCCTAGCAGCACCCTAGTCTCGAAATTTGGGGAATTTTAGCCCTCTAATGTCTTATTTTAAGCGTGGAGTTTTCATACAGTAATATTTCATTACTGAAATAATTATTATCTTCATTATTGAGCTCTTTATCATTTTATAAACCCGACGAGAGCATTGGGAGGGAGTTTTTTTTTTTTCTTTAAATTGTTCTGGACCAGTGTCACAAACACTTGGGTGGTTTAAGGTCTCCTGCACTATTTTAGACCAAAATATAATTGTTTTTAACTCAGACCTTTCCGAGGCCCTGAATCAAACCTAAAATTTAGAGGCTTAAAGAATGTTTGAGGCTCGAGATCCCCATAATATTTGAGGAAATGCATCCTGGGTTTGGATCTTGGACTTAAGGAGCTTGAGGTGTAAATCCTCTTTTGGGCATAAGGAATTCTATTTTTACAAATGACCCGGAATGAGGTGAAGGAAAGGGAGTTAAAACCCCAGATCTGAAGGTTAGAAATGAAGTTAAACCACCAGAATTTGGGGGAATCATTTGAGGTGTGGGGGTTGATTTTATTTTTTTTTTTCCCCTGCCCAGAGCTGTGGATTTTGGTTTTCCCTTCCCAGAGATTTGTGTGACTGCTCAGTGGTTTCACCAGCCTGATTCTCCCTGGGTTCTGTTCCCTTCTGATCCAGCTGGGAGATGCCTTAGGAATCCCCTGGGGACAGTGGGAATCTTTCTGGGGTTGTTCTCACATATCCATGGAGCTCTGAGTAGCTGGAGATTGTGGAAGAGGGGGAGGCTCTGCCCTGCTTTCCTAGTGCACAGCTCCAGTTTGGGATTTAAATGGGAATAAAAGCCTCTAAAACAGATGAGAATTCCTGCCCTGCCAATTCCTTGAAGCTTTCCTTGAAGAACAGCCGTTTTCCCAAGAAATGATACGTTTTTGACCATTACCTTTCCAAGTCATGTTTATCCAGTTAATTTGTGGCTTTTCTTATTTTTCCTTTTTTTTTTTTTTTTTTAATTTTTACATTCTGGAAGTTCAGTGCTTGGAAAATGCTTGGATGCTGTGGAAAGAATTCAGGGATTAGAGGACTTGTGTAATCTTCCCTCTGACACGCAATCCAAAGGATTGTGTTACAGAGAGTGTTTTACCTGGAAAGTTATTCCAGTCCTGGATGTGTCCCAGAAGTGGAAGTCTCTGAGTGCAGTTCCCAAGGGAACTGGGAAATGGGAACGACCTTGTTCCCAAAGAGCATTTCCAGTGGGTATTTTAGGAGGATAATTTAATTGATCCTCGAGGGAACGAGTTTAGCTGATGTTGTCAAAATAGAATTGGGGTTTTTTTGGGATAGCTGCAGGTGTTTCAGGAATATTTATGCTCCAGTTTCACTTTATTGTTAATTCCAAGAAATTCCAGGCCGTAGGAGGTCATACAGCAGTCATGTCTTCTCCCTGGCTTATCCATTTATCCCAAAAATCACAGCTTGGGGTTGCTTCAAACTTCTTAACCTTTTTTTTTTTTATTTTCCAGTGCTAATGAGCTGGATAGTGACGTGGAATTTTATTGTCCTGCTGTTTTTTTCCTCCTACAGAGAAGATGGAGAGCTGGAAGACGGGGAAATAGATGATGCTGCCTATGAGGATGTGAAGGAGCACAGCACAAAAGGGGATGACAAACAGAAAACCGAGAAAGGCCACCGGAAATCCCGGAAAAAACGCAAAAAAGAGAAGGAAAAGAAGAAATCCAAGAGGAGAAGACGGGACAAGCATAAGGTTAGGAATTAAAAAAAGCAAAGTATTGGAGGTGCTGATTGGAATTGCAGGTTTCCAGGTTTAGACAAGAATCCAGGGAACTGGAGAGGGAAACTAAAATGGTGTCATTTGTATTAAGACTTAAACTGGTTTTAAATCTTAACCAGTGGTTTAAGTTAAGCCCTGGCCACTGAGAGCAGTCTTGGAAGCTGAACCACAGGGATCTGAGAGTTTTTAGGACAAAGAGGCAAAAATGGAAGTTTACCAGTTTCACTTTTGTGCTGATTATTTATGGAAGGAAAAGATTTCAGGCAAGATGAGTGAATTCTTCAGGAAAATTCTTTGGGAAAACGCAGCTAATAGAGATTTTAATCAACTTCAGTGCAAGAGGTTAATAAAACTTGATCCTGGAAAATGAAACCTGCTGGTCCTTTTTTTTAAAACAGAGTGTTCTCATATGGATCCCTTGAAATTCCTGGCAGTTCCATAGCTCTTTTTGCTTTTTTTTCCAGCATAATTCCCCTTCCAGCGATGACAGTTCCGACTACAGCCACGACTCCGACATGGAGCGCCCGGAAAGGCCACACAAGAAGAGCAGCAGCTCTTCCTACAGGGATTATGATTCTTCCTTCAGTCAGGTAGGAAGTTTTTCAAGGGATTTCTCAGGTCTTAATCGAGGTGGCATTTCAAAAATGCCAATGGAAACGCTGTGGTTCGGGAATTCTTGGCTCGATCCCGGTGCCCGTTCTCCCGGATTTCAGGGAGCACATCTAGTTCTCATCTCCCTGGGTGTATTCCCAGATGGAGAGCAGGATCTGTGGCAGAAGTGAGGTAGTGTAAACAAGCTTGATACCAATTTTTCCTCCACGAGGCAACAGGAATTAAGGAATCTTTATTATTAGGGAATATTTTATTGCCTGTTTTGGATACAGATGGGACTAAGAGGAAACAGCTCTTGAAAAGCCATTTTGCAATATCTAAAGTTGATTCTGCTGCCTGGGAGCTCAGTTTGTCCTGTTTTTTCCCAGTCTGGGAATCAAAAATAGTGGTTTTTACTGAATAACTGATTTTCTTTGTATTACTGCTGCTTTCTTGGGGCAAATCTGGGAATAAAACAGCCCCAAAAATGGGGTTTTAGAGCTGTTTGGAGTGTGGGATTTGGAAATACGGAGTTGCTTCCTAATGCAGTCCCTTTCCTGCAGCATGGACACGTGTCAGGGAATTACATGAGTTCCCAGAAAATGCAGCATAAAAAAAATGTCAAAAGTAAGGAATATGATGACTACAGTCACTACAGCGATGAAAACTTTGGGAATTACAACGAGGAAGAAAAGGATGAGGATTTTGCTGACCAGCTGAAACAGTACAGACAGGCTAAGGAGACCTCCAGTGGGGATTTGGGACCTCCATTCCCAAAGGAGCCGGTGAAGAAACAGGGGATGAAAGGGATCCAGAAAGGTAAGGGAATTGTGGGGGGCAGCAGCTGTGTCCTGGATCATTCTGGGATGGGGACCTGGATGAGGGAAACTGCCAGGGGTGGCTTCCCTGCCACCAGGGCTGGTTAGAAATTACATTTCCAACAGCAAAAAGAGAGTTCCTTTGTTCCATGATGCCACTAGAGAACCATTTCCCCTTAATTTCGTGGTCTGAAGAGGTCATTCCCGTTTTCCAGGCATTTCCCAGCGAGGGAACAATTACAACGTGGGCCGAGGGCGTGGGATGCAGAAGAAGCTGAAGCGCAAAGATCGTGGCAGGGGAAGAGGAGGCAATAAAGGATCTGATGGCTTCCATGAGGTACCTGGGATCACAGCCCTTACTCCCAGTGCACCACGTGGCAACTAATGTTTGTGCAGCACCAGTAAAAGGTGGATTTTTTGGTTTTCCAGGATGGCAAACCAGTGAAGAAGTGGGTGAATATGAGCCAGGAGTTCATCAACCAGCACACGGTGGAGCACAAGGGCAAACAGATCTGTAAATATTTCCTTGAAGGCAGGTGCATTAAGGTACATTTTAAATTCTTTTTTTACTTCATTCTTAGCTGATTTAAAGAAAACTTGGGTGTTGCAAGTCAATATTTTGATTTCTGAGGTTTTGAGGATTTATTGATAAATCCAGCAGAATTGCATGTGGGAAAACATCCCATTCTGTTACACATTTTGAATTTAACTGCTATTAGATCCTATTTAATTTATTAATTCCATTATAAGTATTATATTTTCAGTAATATATGCAATAAAAGCATCTGTGACAGCATCATAAACTTACACTGGCAATGCATCATATGTAAATACCAAATAAAAGTATTTTATCATATGATAAATCTCATAAGTCTAGAACCTAAATAGGCAACAATTCCTGAATATATTAAGTTGTTTGTTTCTTTGCTAATTTGGAAACATTGATTTCCAAGTGATTTCTCTCTCTAAAAAGTGGGGTTGTTATAAAACACACCCTTAAACCACTGGATGCTTCTTCAGTGAGTGACTCACTTTTCTTTGGTTCCTCAGGACTTAGAAGTGGAATATTTTATGTTTGTTTCTCAAATGGTCAAAATAAAGACCAAAATTATTGGAAATATCGTATTTCTTGCTGCCTTTGAATGTTTGGCTCAGTGAGACGAGTATTTGCTGCCACCTTCAGTTTTAAAAGGGGCTGAAAGAGCACTTGGTGTCTTGTTCATGAAAATAAATGCTAAAAAGATCCACAAACCCCCTGCCCAGCAAAATAATCCGAATGGGTAACAGGATGTATGGAAAATAATTCAGGAAAATATTGGCTTCAGTGCCTTTTTTAATGCAAATTCCAAGGTGGAGGCAGAGAAAAGACCTGAGACTGTAAGAGCAGCTTGTTTTCTGTCACCAGTCTGAATATTCCTTTGAAATCCAATCCAGGAATTTTCTCCTATTCACACTTTTTAGGGATGTGATTATAAGTCAGTGTTAGTCAAGATAAAAAGTTTCAGCTGAGGAGCTGAGGAGGATGTTCTTCTTTCAGTGTGAAATGAAATTATTCAGCATTTCACTAATGGCTTTTCCTTGTTTTTTGATTTATTTATAGGGGGAACAGTGTAAATTTGATCACGACGCAGAGATTGAAAAGAAAAAGGAAATCTGCAAGTTTTACATCCAGGGTTACTGCACCAAAGGAGAGAACTGCATTTATTTGCACAATATCCTTTGAAAACACTTGGAAATTCATCAGGAACTTTATATTGCTGTTTATTTCTGTTTATTTTGGTGTAAGTGATTTTTAAGGGTGGCTCTTTCTTTCCTTAAGAGACTCTACCAAAAATGGTAGATTTGTTACAGATGATTTTTTTTCTTAACTAGTTAAGAGGAAAAAATAAGTATAAAATCTGGGGTTGTGTCAATTTTAAGCGTTTTTAACATTTTTAAAGATAAAACTCCTTGAAGTTCAGATATATTTACCCACATATTTTTTAACCTCTGATCTGTTCCTGATTATTGTTGTTCTTGTGCTTTCCTTCCCCTTTTTAATCACAACTTTAAAATGAAATCCAAAGGCCACAGAAATGTAATTATTAGGAGAATTTAAAGTGGGAGTAAGAGGTAAGTTGATTTTTAACTTCCAAATTTCATAACGTGTGGCATTGGAAAGATGAATTCCTGGTGAAGAATTGAAGGATAGCTGCCAGCTGGATTTTCTAACCTTCCCAAACTGTTAGGAATCCTTAACTCCCTGAATTACATGAATTCCCCTGCAAGTTCTACCACACAGGAGCCAAGTGCTATCAAGGAGATAAGTGCAAATTCTCTCACGCTCCCCTGACTGCTGAAACAAAGGAGCTGCTGGATAAGGTGAGGGATCCAGGCACTAATCCTGACCTCTGGTTCACATAGGATTTTCCTGTCTCTCTCCAATCACTGCCCAACAGGCCTTAACAGAAAAGGGGGGTGAATCCAACACTAAAAACATTGGGAATCTTAGAACAACTTCTTCCATTCCTCTCACGTAGAATTCCTGTCTGAAGGAAGTGGACCTGTGGGAAATTGTCCCTTCTTGGGTACTGGGAGTAGTTTTCTTCCTGCCTGGGAATTGGGTGTCCTGCAAAACAACCCCCAGAAATGGGTTTATAAATCCTCTGAGTGGGATGTCAATATCCAGGGGAGGTTGTTTATTTAAATATGTAAATAACAATATTTAAATGGGAGGCACGAGACTAAATTGAATTGCAAATAGTGGGAAACTGATGGAATGTTTGCTCCGTGGCTTTGTTCCAGGTTTTGAATAACGAGGAGGAGCCCCAGAACGAAGATGAGAAGGAGCTGGAGGAGCTCCGGAAGCGGGGCATAGTTCCTCTTCCCAAACCCCCTCCGGGCGTCGGGCTCCTGCCAACCCCCCCAGAGCAATATCCCTTCTCCGAGTCCGACATGGAAAACTATCAAGATCCTTCAGGAGATTATAAGAAAATCCCGTCTCTTTTTGAAATAGTCGTGAAGCCCACTGTGGATTTGGCCCACAAAATTGGGAAGAAGTAGGTGTTGGAGTTCTGGGTAGAACTCTCTGAATATTTCTCATTTAATATTTAATCATTGGCTTTGTTCCTGTCAGGATTCTGGGATAAGTTAAGGATCTGCCAGATGCTTGATATCAGAGTTATTTAATGCATTTCATGGAAAGGCTTGGCCTTCCAGAAGGTCACTCCGTTGGCTCTTGCTTTGGCATCTCCATCTGCAGGTGGAGCAGTTCATTCCCTGCTCCAGTCTTTTTGCAGCTGGCTTTTTCTTGAGGAAAACTGATGGAGATGAGCCAATGCTGAAAAAAATGTGCTTCCAGCCAAAATCCGTTGTCATTCAGGATAAGAGGATGAAGCTCCACCAAGGGAGGGGCAGGAGGAATTTCTTCATGGAAAGGGTTGTCAGGCATTGGAAGGGGCTGCCCAGGGAGGTGGTGGAGTCCTCATCCCTGCAGGTGTTCAGGGAAGGACTGGAAGTGGCACTCAGTGCTCTGGCCTAGTGACTAGGCAAAGGTTGGACTTGATGATCTCAGGGGTCTTTTCCAACCTAAATGATTCCATGTGATTCTGTGATACATGGAATGGGTGTAGATAACTCTCTTGGAAAACAATTGTGCTCCTTTGGGATTTTTAACCAATTTAAGGTCAAATAAGTACAAGTAAGAGTAGGGAGGGGGAGGAGAGAGCCAGTGGGCTGTCGGGCTTTGTAGGTCCAAAATTTGATTCCTTTCATTTTCTCCTCCCCCAGGCCACCGACCTTCTACAACAGCGCGTCGCCCCCGAGGCCGCCGTTCCAGGGCAACGACCCCCATTCCCAGCACATGTACAATCCGGGCTCGAGTCCGGGGCCGGGCCCCGGCATGTCCCAAGGACACAACGGGCCCCCGATGCACCCCGGTTCTCCCGGCCACCATCCCTGCGGAGGGCCCCCAGGGCCGGGAATGCCGCAGAGCCCCCCCATGCAGGGGGTTCCCCCGGGGTACATGGGCCCGCAGAACCAGACTGGAATGCCCATGCAAGGGCAGCAGGGGGGGCCTCCCCTCACCCCGCCGGGGCTCGGGGGCTCCTACAATTCCCCCGGAGTGCAGGGACACATGGTGAACATGCCCAGGGACAACCACTGTCCCCCGGGGCCGCAGTACCAGCAGATGCCCGGGGAATACGAGTCCATGCAGAACCCCGCCGACTTCTACGACAACTACTATTCCCACCAAGCTGTGCATAACTTCCAGCCGGCCAATAATTCCGGAGGTAAGCACGTCTGCTGGAAGAAGCTTGGAGAGAAACCCCCCGGAATGTCGTCGGTGTTCCGGCTTTTTCAGCGGGGGGTGTCCGGTTGTGTTGAATAAGTCATGTTTTGCTTTAGGTTTAGATGGGACATTGGGAAGAAATTGTTCCCTGTGAGGGTGGTGAGGTATTGGCACAGGTTGCCAGGGAAGCTGTGGCTTGCCCTTGGAAGTGTGCAAGGGGATGGGGCTTGGAGCAGCCTGGGCTAGTGGAAGGTGTCCCTGCCCATGGCAGGGGGTTGGTACTAGACCTTTAAGGTCCCTTCCAACCAAAACCATTCCATGATTCCATGTCTTATAGCTATGAAAACTTCTCTGGGATAGGTGCTAACCGGAGCTTTGTTCTCCTGCAGATGGAACATGGCACGGAGAGTTCCCAGACCACCAGGCTCACCTCATGGCTCAGGAGTCGCACGCGGGCGGGAGCGAGTCGGAATGCATGGGCAGCCACATGGGCCACAACCAGGCCCTCAACGTGCCCGATTTCCTGCCCGCCATGCAGAAGGCCCTGTATGCCAGGCTCAGCCAGAAGCACCAACGGGATGGAGACTCTGCCAGCAGCCAGGGCCAGAGGGCCATGAGCAAAGACGAAGGTGAGGAGGATTTTGTCGGAATTCTCGACCCGGTTCTTGGCTGGGAATTAGCCGGGAATGAATTTGCTGACACTGATTTGTGTCACCGCTCACGTTACTGGGGATGCACAAGCAGCCACTCAGTATTTTCAGCTCTTCTTCCCAGCTTCTTCTGGGATTTTAGTACAGTCTTAGTTGCTTCATCCTAGCTCCAAGTAAAAAGATCCGTGGATAATTTATGGATCTAGTTGGCACTTTTAAAAGGTTCTGTGGTTGATAATTACTTCTGAAAATCCCTGATTGAACCAGAAAGGTTTCTCACTGCCAGGAATGCAGGTCCATCCTAGATCCTGGTTTTTCAGTTGCACCTCTTGATCTTTTTTTCTAGAGCAGTATTTTTTCCTCTGTGATATCCTTTAAAATTAAATATTCTTATTTCTTCCCATCCTGAAGCTTGATTTCTCCCCCAAACCTTGGGATTTGGATTATAGTAAGGCAGCAGATTTTAAGGGGCCATTTCACTTTTCATTCTCCCATCAAGACTCAGAGTTTAGATGTGAGGTTTTTTCACCAGTACTGTTAGACTTGTTTGGAAGCAGGTTATTTTCCCAAATATTGATGGATATGGAGAGAGAACATGGCAGAGCTTGGGAGTATCTCCACTACCTCCAGGATTTTTTGATATGTCAGTTCTTTGATTAGATGGAGTTTTGTCATTTTAGATACTGTTTTTATAACACAGGGAGTTATGATTTAATGTCAGATCTTTTCAGCTTGATTTCACTGAGAAGTTTCCCACTGTGGAGTAAATGTGTCGGATTCTCTGGGGATTAATTGCTTGAATAATCGAAATTCTTTGGAATTTCTTTGGTTTCTAGATGACAATGTCAACTGGTATTCCAGTAGTGAGGAGGAAGAGGGGAGCAGTGTTAAATCGATCCTCAAAACCTTAAAGAAACAAAGCGAAAACTTCAGGAATCGGCAGCAACATTCCACGGAGCAGCACATGCTGGGAATTCCTACGGATCCCAGGCTGGCCAAGGACAAAGGTATGGGGCCTCAGACTGCTGACCCGAGACTTCGGGCCTCTCCAAGGCCCAATCCCAGGAAACCCTCCGATTCGGCATCCTTGGACCCCCGGCTGGCCCGCGATCCGCGGATGCACAAGGTGAGCGAGGGCCACGCCGGCTCCTCCCTCGGGGCGGCCAAGCTGGATTTGCACCACGCGCACACCGGAGTCAAAGTCAAGCAGAAAGGGATGGACGACGACGAGGAGGACTCGGAAAGAGAGCTGAGGGAACGGGCCTTCCTCATTCCCTTGGAACCTTTGCCTGGCGTCACGTTAAGGGATCCCCGCTCCCAGCTCCGGCAGTTCAGCCACATCAAGATGGATGTGACCCTGATGAAACCCAACTTTGCCAAGCACATCGTCTGGGCCCCCGAGGACTTGCTCCCAATCCCTTTGCCTAAGCCCGACCCCGTCTCCTCCATCAATTTACCTCTTCCTCCGCTCATTGCCGACCAGAGACTGAACAAACTGCGGAATCTGAAGAACGATCCGCATCCGAACGCGATGCCGGCCGACCCCCGGCTCGCTGCCAAGGCCAAGAACAGCCTCGCGGGCCGGAGCGGCTACTTGGATCCGGCTGCGGATTCCCACGCCAGTAGCTCCAGCAAACTGGGGGATCCCCGCTTGCAAAAGAACGTGGATCCCAGACTCCACAGACTGTCGAGCGCAGACGCGCACCACGGAGTCGGGAAGGATTCCCACCCTCCCAAGTTTGACCCCCGGCTCGCCAGAGCTGCCGCCAGCTCATCCCAGCCCTCGGAAGCCGCGGCTCCGAAACCCGACCCCGACGCTCTGCCTCCGTACGCGCCCAAACTGTCGTCCAGCGGCGTCAGGCTGGGAACGCCCGGCTCCATCCTGAGCGGGATCAGTTTGTACGATCCCAGGGATCACGGCTCCGCCTCGGACACGGCGCCAGCCGGTTCGGGAGAGAACGGAGAGAACCAGAAAAAAAGCATTTTGAAAAATTCCAGTAAAAGCGAGCCCAGCCTCGCGGAAGACGCGTCCCTGCAGAAAGCCGCCTCCAACGCGGAAAAAACCACGGAAGGATCAGCGGAGGCCGCTTCAGACAAAGCGAACAGCACCAGTAAATCTCAGGCTAAACACTCCAGCGCTGCTCCTGCCGTGCATAATCTCCCGATCCAGGCTTTGTCGGGATTAATCAGGCCGCAGTACAGCGACCCCAGGCAGGTGAGGCAGCCCGGACAGGTAACGCAGACCCCGGAGAACGATCCCAACGGGGAGTCGGATGATAAATCCTTGAAAGATGTTTTCAAGACTTTCGATCCAACCGCTTCCCCGTTTTGTTAGCAGATGGCTTTGGAGCCTTTTTACCGTTGTGGATATTGCAGTTCTCTGCTGTTTTGTACCTGGGTTACCTCTTTTGGCTTTATTTATTTTTAAATTATAATTCCCACCACTTTTCAGCTGCTAATCCCAAACCACACGCAGTTCTCCAGTGCGCTCGAGTGTTTGCAAAGCTGTGGTATTTTCTAGAGAATCCTTTTTTCTTTTTTTTTTTTTTTTCCAATTTCAGGGAGACTAATAATTGACCTGTAGAAAGGAAACCAATCCCCCCCCCGGATCGTGTTAGAGCTGAGAAAAGCACTTTCATTGTAAATAAGTCATGGAAAAATCCCCAGAGCTGTATATGTGTGAGCTGCCTCTTCCCAACCACCACTTAGATCCGATTGCCACATTTGTATAGATCCAAGCAATATTATGTACATTAATTCCCGGGAGGGACGCCGTTCCAGGACTGCCAAACCCCCGAACCGATGGAAAACCTGCGTAAATGAATTCCGAGGAAACCGTCGCTCCTCCTTTTCCGACGCGTTGATGTAAGACACGGACAGTTTTTATTCCTGCAGTCAATATTAGTGTAAAAGAGACTCTTATCGCATATTGAGGATGAAAAAAAAAAAAAGTCATATCTTTTCAAAGTATTTTATTCTATGCTGTACATAGAAAAAAAAAAATTGTGAAGTACATAACTAGGAGAAGTAACTGTTCAAAGTGGAGAGAACTACGTTGTCTAATACGAGAAGAAAGAAAAAGGTTTTTATTTAATTTCTTTTCCACACCTACACGATTGGGATTTAGTGCTCCGAGTTCCATTGTGGTGTTCATGTATTTCAACGTATTTTTGTATTCAGCTGCTTAATTTGTATTGCTTTTTTTGTATGGCTGTAACCGCAGTACTTGTATTCATGGTGTCTCGGCGACATTTTTAACAAAACAATTAAAAAGGGTACCGTTAATCCCTGGTGGTGACTCCGTGGGGACGCTGGGAATGAGTGGGATAACGCCGTGGGATAGCGCAGTGGGATGGTTGGTGGGTTCTTAACTTAACCACGTACCTGGTTCCAAGGCCCCTCTTGGAGAGAGTTGCCACTTTCCGCTGCAAAACGTCCCGCATGTCTTTAATTTCCACGGGGGAACACAAATGTCCTCCAAGCCTCCTGTCCTGCCTTTTGGGTTGCTTTTTCTCCTGAGGAAATGTAGTCATTCCTAGCCCAGCTGCCTTTCCAATAAAAACTTGCCGGCTGCTCCATCACCACCACCTGCTTCCCGCCCCTTTGGAACGTTTCTTTGCATTAAGTCTCTTCCTTGGTGCACCTTTTTCCTCTTCTTTCTTTGCTGGCCCAAGCGATGCTTCCACTGGGACAATTGAGTTCATCCCAGACTCTGAGGTTTTGGTTTCTTGCAGGGATGAACCAAGGGAAGCTGGTAATTCCTTCATGGCAGAGGAGACGTCTCCAAAGGCAATTGCGGTTTCGATTTGCCTCCCTGATTTCCCAGAGCGTAAATTCCATTAATTTTATGGTCTTCTGGATAGGAAAACTGGGTAAGGGACATGGAACCTGGTTGTTATTTTGGAGTAATCCATTAGTTCTGCGTAATTACATCTTCCTGTAGTGACAAGCGTGGCTGGTCAAGGTTTTCCTCAAAAAAAAAACCCAAGCCAGCAGGGAAAAATGGTGTGGAAATAGGATGTGGATACAAAGGCCAGCGAGTCCTCTCAGCCTGGGTAACTCTGTAACTCACTCCTTCCTTCCTGCCTTCCTCCCTTCCTTCCTCTCCCCCAACCCCACAGGTCCCCGTGGACCCTCCCAGCACCTCTGTGGCTGCTCTGCTCCTCCATCCACCCCTGCTCCCTGCTTTATCCGTTGCAGATTGTTTCCCAGACTCTCCGGTGTGCCTCTCCCTTGGAACACGGAGGAGATTCCTTGCCACCGCACAGGTAACAGAATTCCTGCTGCGGGGAACATGGTGGAGAGGCAGGTGGGGACACCGAGGTGGGTTGGAATGGGCTGTGCATCCTGCCAGTTGTGATCTGCTGTGGTGTTGGATTGTGAATTCCGCAGGGAAGGCTTCTTTCCAGCCCTCCTGCACGCGCGGTATTCCGGCATGGATCAGCGTTTCCGTGGGACACCCGCAGCTCCATCCCCTGAGGCTGTGAAGGATGGATGTGGAGAGCCAGAGATGCAGGAGCAGCCAGTGTCACCAGTCTGGGATCCTCTGGAAGCTCTGAGGTGGGTGGTGGTGGGGACTGAACGTTTTACTTGGTAGGAGAAAAATCCTGGGGCTGAGGGGGGTTTTGGGAGGAAATCTGCAGGATCAGGGACACAATAAAAATGTATCCCTGGATATGTGATCTGTGACCTTGTCCGCTCTCTGCAGTGCAGAAAGACTGAGCAACTCTGGATCATAAAATCCTGGAATGGTTTGGGTGGGAAGGGACCTTAAACTCATCCCATCCCACCCCTGCCGTGGGCAGGGACACCTCCCACTGGAGCAGGTTGCTCCAAGCCCTGTCCAGCCTGTGTCACCACCTGGTGTTTGCTGCCCTGTGGGTAAAACACTCACCAGAACATTCCTGGCCTCCCCACGGAGCCTCTTCCAAGATTTTCCTGCCACAATGGGAACGCTCCAACACGAATCCTTCATCTTGCAAATACTCCAACCGTCATCAGGATGAGAAGCCCCTCCCTGGTTTTACAGGTGTCTGTCCATAGCTGTGTGTCCCTTCCTAGGACTGGGATGCTTTGGGATATTCCTGGTCTGAGGGGGTGGTTCTTGCACCACAGCCACCAGGGTGGGCTCCGCCTTTGCTTCCCGAGTCTTGCGGAGCCCTAACTCATCCCTGCTGGAATTTAAAGCCTCCTTGGCTCTGTGCCACGACAGGTTTTTCTTCCACTGCAGGCAAAAAGCAGCAACTTCTTCTGCTTCAGGGTCAGGTGAGGGTTGTCCCAAACCCTGTTTGGACAAAATAATTGCTTTAAATATCCCTGTACATCCTGAATGACAGGAAAGCCTGGATGTGAGCTGATCCATGTGGGATTTCTACCTCTTTAATGCTCACAATGCTTAAAAATGCTCAAAAAGGTGCTTGCTTACAGGGAGAGAAAAGGAGTGCAGTTTCTTGAGAAGCAGGGAAATTTCCAAAGGGAGATTTCCAGGTCAGAAAGGACTTTGGAATCTAGACAGCCAAGATTAATTAATTGATTAATCCAGGCCGGAATCAGCAAAGTGAAAAATGGACAAATATAGGAAGTTTTAAGTTTGGGCAATTAATTAACACAGGAGGAGCTTTGTCACCCTTGGGGCTGATTATACAGTGAATGGGATTTTAAAAAACTGCCTCCTTCAGAAAGACAGGCTGATCCCAGAAAAAGTTTTGTAGAGGAGGATGGGACTCAGCTAGAAATGCTGCCTCAGGAGAGTCTGGTGGTAGTTGCACTCGTTTTCCAAGTGTTTTCAGGTAAAATCTGCTCCCACAGACTGTTTCCAGTTGGATCAGTTGGCTGTTGATGGCAGCTGCATGGAAAGCTCGTGGGAGCTTGGCTTTTGGGAATAAAGGGGATTGGCAGGGACTATTTCCAGCTAAAGGTGACTCCAGGAACAATACATGGGAAGGATGTAAGGTGGGCTTTGGAAACGAGACAGAAAGGCACGGAATAAAAACATCCCAGGAGGAATGTTTGCTCCAGCTGGAGTCCCACAGCACCCCAGGGCTTGGAGCAACCCTTCCCCCTCCCCCCAAGCATTCCCTGATCCCGTGGCTGATCCCAAGGCTCACTCACTTTGACAGAGGCCGCCTCGGCCGCGCCCAGGAGGTGCCGCACCGCTCGCACCAGGTTCTGCGCGTTGCTCAGGAGCAGCTCCGAGGAGGCCTTGCTCTCCCCAGTCACTGCTTTCACCCTGAAAACACATTCCAGAGGGTTTTACTGGAAGGGCATCAGGCATCCCACAGCGTCATTACTCCAAACCCGGCTCATCCCCTGTGCCATCCGAGTAGGGAAACCCGGGCAGGAGAGGGAACCCTCCAAATGGCGTCTGAACTCCCACCGCCCACAGGGGACCTCCGGGGGCCACCACGCACATTCCTTCTCTAGGATCTTGGGATGACCTTGGGAGAGGTGATCTCTGGGCCTGGCAGCTCACCTGGCCACGATGGTGAGCTGGCTGCTGAGGGTGTGGGTGTGCTCAGAGGCGCGGAGCAGCTCCGTGGAGCATCTCTGGTCCGGGCACTGCTTGGCAAGGATGTGCCCAAATCTGACAACCACCTGCCCGTCGGAAGCGATTTGCCTGGCACAGGCAACAAACTGCTCCTTGCTCTAAAACGGGATAAAAATCAATGGGATTGGGGAGGGAAGGAGGAAAAAGCTTTTCCTGCAGGACAGGGAAGGATACGTGAGGCCTGGATGCATCCTGGAACGAGGAAAGGATGGGATGCCAAGCTCACAGCTAACCAAGAGGAAGGAATTTTGAGTATTTTGCATAAGTAGAGCTGGTGCCTCTCTCCCGAGAATGGGGTGACACAGGGATTTGGGATGGGCTTTGTGATCCTGAGGGAGAAGTGGAGGGGTGGAATGCTGCGTACCGCGATGGGGCCCTTCTTCCTCAGGAACTGAGCCATGTGGAGCATCCTCATTGCCATGTCCTGGATGACCTGGGACACCTTGCTGGGGCCGCCCTGCTGTGTGTCACAGTTTCCTCTCTTGTGCTTTGCAGGGGAGGTGCTGGAAGGGCCATCCCGCTGCTGTCCAGACAATAATGGAACAGATTCCAGGTCCGGAGTGTGTGGACACAGTGGTGCCGAGCGGCCTCCTCCACCTGCCTGGTTCTGAAACAGATTTTGGTGAGTGAAGTTGGTGGGAGAGGCGGGGGCCCTGCTGCATCTGTTCCAACTCCCCACCAGCCCTTCTTCCCAGATCCAAAGCCCCTGGAGCCAGCTCCAAATGGGAGCAGCTGTCACGTGAGCTGACAGTGCACAGTTAAAACAGTTCTCCTGAGGGACCTGGGTCATGTGCCAAAGCCTTTCCCAGCTCCCAACACCCAGCAGTGTTTGCTGTGGGAGTGGAGTTGCTGGTATTCCCAGAGGGAGAGTGGTACAGCCCCTGCCCCTCTGGAATGGCAGAGTTTGGGATGGGTTTCCTGATGCCGATCGGATATCGGGACTCCGGGGCTGCCAGCAACCTGAGCTACCCAGGGTCAGAGCGCTGGCCTCCAGAGCCCCTGCCAGCATCCCTCACATTCCCACTCCATGCTGGGAGCACCAGGAGTGACAGACCATCACCCTGCAGGAAGAGCTGACAGGGAAAAAGAGCTACTGTACCATTTCACCTGCTTCCTGTGGAGCTCCGCTCCCTGCTCTGCTCCCGAGTGGGCGACTTCCCGCTGCCTCAGTGGGCTGTGGGGCTGGGCAGAGCTGGGATTGTCCTGGGAATGCCCAGTCCCGCTGCAGGCATTCTGTGATGCGCCGCAGGAGGTCCGTGCCAATGCCGTGGGTGGCCTGGAGCTGTGTGAGGAGATAGTGGGCCTGGGCTGACCAGTACCACACCACGCTGTCCAGGTGGGCATCCCCTGTGTCCTGGGGATCCCAGGTGTCCAGGTGGGCATCCCCCATGTCCCAGTGGCTCCGGAGGCTCCGTCGGGCGCTGCCCACAGCGTGGGCCGTGAGGAGCAGGAGGTGCTCCGCCGTGGAGAGCGGGTTGTCCCGCGGTGGCAGTTGAGCTCCGGCCTCCAGAGCGTCCCGGAGGGTGTTCCTGACCCACTGGACGTCAGCCATGAGCCGACTCGCCTTCTCCTCAAAGGCCTCCTTGCTCCTGTCCCTCTCCTCGTGGGAGAGGCCGGGCAGGGCTGCTCCAACCACGTCCTGGATGACGTGCAGCTGCTCCGTGTTGACCCTCTCCAGGTGGAGCAGTAACGCCCTGGCCCTGAGGGCCACGTCTCTCTGCAGGAGCTCGAAGCGGAT